TGGGCTGGAGTCTATCCCAGCTGACTCAGGGCGAAGGCAGAGGACACCCTGGACAGGTCAGCAGTCTATCACAGGGCTACACTTAGAGACAGACAACCAGTCACACTCACATTCACATCTGACAATTTAGAGTCACCAATTAACCTCAGCATGTTTTTGTACTGTGTGGGAGGAAGCTGGAGAACCCGGAGAGAACCCACGCTGCACGGGGAGAACATGCAAACTCCACGCAGAAAGATTCCGGTGTCTCCACTGGGACGCGAACTGGCGACCTTCTTGTAACAGTGCTACCAACTGCGATGATGTATAAAGTGTGACCTGAATTTCATTACATTTTTTATATGTTTAATTTGTAGATTGCTGCCATAAAATCCATCCATCCATCCATTATCTGTACACCACTTCATCCTCACTAAGGTAAAGCTTAGTGAGGTAAAGGTAATTTAGGACAAGGCAGGGGACACCCTGGACAGGTCACCAGTCTATCTCAGGGCTAGAACTTGGTGGGAACTGATACTGCACAGGGAGAACCAAGTCGCAAAACAGGGATATTCTACCTGTGAGGCGATGATGCTAACAACCGAGTCACTGGGCAGCCCCCATAGAAAACATATGAATGGATTTTTGTATTCTACAGTGGTCACGGCAGTTAAGGTTTTTTTTTAGTGTCAATATATAGAATAAAGCAGTTGCAGATATTTGTGTGTAGTTTGCTGACTGATTTCTCCAAAACACCTGTAAGTTTGCATTTGGCCATGCTTCATTTCTGTTACATGGAGCGCATGTAAAGCAGTGTTGTACTTTTGGGTCATTTGCTTTTCAAATCATGTTAGCTAATAACAAATAGTCTAATGCTATTTGTATAGCTCACTGTGAAGGTTACAGATAATAACTTCAATATATCCAAACAATGATATTGGATAACATTATATAAAATCACAATTAAATCAAATCAATTTTATTGTCATGTTGCTGTACATTCACAGTTGTACAGGCAAGACGAGAGAGCGTTTCTTCAGGATTATTTAATTAGTAAGCTTTGGGGAATGCACGTCTGGGATAAGACACTAAATGTTCACTCTTGCTGTCTCCTGAAGGACTAGCATGCTGTTTGTGAAACAAAAAAAGAAAAAGTGACAGGAGCAGCTCCCAGCAAGCACATACGACAAGAACAGGCAGAATTGGGCACTTCTTAAGACGATAAATGTGTTAAAATATCTATTAAAGTAAAGTGTCATTTCATTTTTTCCCCTATGTTATGTGAAAGAGTGATTTCTTCATGACACTGGAGTCGTCGTCGTATAGTGAAACTTCTCTTCAACTGCTTGCTCGATAATTTAACTTCTTCATGCAGCATATAAAATGTACAACATGTTTCTTTAAGGACCTTTCAGCATGCTTATATATGAGTATGTAAAGAATCATCCATCCTGGTGCTGAACCTGTAGCCTCGCAGCTGTGAAGTGGGACTCATGCCAGACCTTCCAGGCAGGAGAAAGGCTTTTTGATGCTGTCAGAGTGTTTAATCACACACAGGAGATGTGATTTTACTTTGCAGACAAACAAAGACGTATTGGTGAGAGATCCCTTTAGTAGGTTATGAAAAATTTGTAAAAAAGAAAGAAAGAAAATAAAACAGCTTCAAAACTGACACCAGTGAGTAACTGATTAGATTCGTCTTTAAAAGATTTTTTTCTGTGCGTTCTTATTGCCTTTATGCGATAGGAGCAATCGAGATACACAGTAAATATGGAAAAAAGAGCGCGGGAGTGACATGCAGCAAGGATCTGGCTGGCCAGGAATCTAACTCGCTGTCTTACTGACAGCATTTGAGTCCATGTGATATGCATCCTAAACAATGAGCTTCATCTTCAGATGACAGAAGACGATTAACACAAACTAATCAGTTCAGTGCAGACACGTTCCAGTCACATTATACAGAATTAAGCTCTCACAAATAAACAAAGCAGGCTTCTGAAGTTATAATTTAGAAGAAGTAAAAACACAATATCTAATGAGAAATATTAAAACGCAAATAGGACTGGTAATAACTTCTGATCCTTTGGGTCCTCTGGGTTTAGGGGTGAGGCCTCTGTGGACTGAACTTGTTCCGGTGCATCTCAGTGATGCTCGTTCGAAATTGGATCTGGGAAGTTTGGAAGCCAGGTCAGCGCCTTGGGCTCTCTGTTGTGTTATTCAAGCCATTGCTGAGCGGCTTTTGTGGTGTGGTCAGGGCATATTGTCCTGCAGGGGGAGGCTGCTGCCGTCAGGGTGCGCTGTTGCCATGGGGGTGTGTGCTTGGTGTGGAGCAGCGTTTAGTTGGGTGTCAAAGTAACCTTCACATGAATGTCAGCCAGCAGAAGATTGCCTCATAACAACATGTCATACACTTCACCTGTGAGTTGTCAGGGACGCTTTTAGAAATGCTGCGTGCACAGCAAACCTTCTTTGTGGTCTCCCCACCAATTATTACATCCTGTGGCTTATATTGAGAGAAATAGAAGAGAAGACAGCTTCTGATTTCATCCCTTTCCAACCAAATTGTGGCTGAGATCCTTTTCTGTCTCCCAGGCATTTGGTATTTCCTGAATCACTACTATCACTCTGTTCCATTATCAAAATATTTCTCTTCTCCAGGGTAATGTTCCTTTTCTTGCACCCCCTGCAGGGAACAATACCTTGGTACAGTCCATTCTCTGACTTTTCTTAGGTGTACACTTGTGAGGTACAGGGTGACCCTTTTACTGTGTGTCTTGGCTGATAGTTATTATGTCAATTGTTGTTTTTTTGTTGGTGTTAATGGCCTTATATTAGTTTTACTGCTGATGGCTTTCTCCTAGTTTGCAGAGCCCTGACAGGCCCTGGACCAGGGGAGAGGCAGAGGGACCAACACAGGGGGAAAAGGATAAAGAAAAGGGCTTTTAGGATAATCTTGACCAATCTGGTGTCCACAGCTGTGTCTCAGCTACTAATAGCAGTTGTTACATCCTGGCAAGTAATAATACAGAATTTAATGTTTTATACAATTTACTCAGTAAATATCTGGACCTTTGTTATACAGGTTTGGTTCCTTTTCGACCTCCATAGGGTTGGGGGACGCTGCACAGAAAACCACTACCTGTGAGCCAATGTTTATGGTTTCAAGATGTCTTTAAAGCAATAGTCCTAGAAAGCTTAAAAATAGGTGAGTATTGAGTGACCTAACAACCCCTAAAAATCTTGTTTTTATTGACCTTCAGAAGTTTAAATTCTCACATTGTGTGGAGTCCAGTGTGACACACAGCCACCCCTGAAGTTTCATTGGAAATCTGATGGGAGAGTTCATTCACTGAACTCCAATGCCAAGGATTCAGTGAATGCAGCTAGCGAAGCAGCATTAACCCTATTCAGGACTTTCAGGTTGCCAGATGTAGAAGGTCTTTTAGGGTCCACTGGTTCCCAAGAAAGAATATGTGCAAAATATTTGTTGGTATTCATTATAGCCTTTTCTGATAAGTTGATGTATTTTTGCTTCCAAATGACTGCAACACTACAGTATGTTTGAAGAAGCAGCCGGCTGTGTGTTCCAGCCAGAAACATCACAGAGAACACAAAACACCTTCAGTGGAAGGAGGCAAACACAGACCTCAGGAGCTGTAGTTTAGTTTGTTGCTTCCAGTTGCCTGTAGGAGTCTTTCCTCTGAGTTTATTACATACCTGCAACATCAGAAAGCAGCAGGATCCTTTTGTACTTCTCCAATGTGAGAGAATTGTGCGCATTTGTGCACAACACAAAATTATAACTTATCCCCGACGTGGAGACAGGGTTGATCGGGATCTACATAAATGACACTGTGTGCTTTTCTTCACCTCAGACTGGCAAAAGGTCAAACAAAGTCTCAGTTTATTATAGCTGCAGTTAAATCAGCCCCAGATGCTGGGCTTTATCACATCTGAGATCTGTTTTCTGTAAAAGTTTGATCCAAAAGTCAAAATACTTTTCTATCACATTAATTATTATTATTATTATTATTATTATTATTATTATTATTATTATTATTATTTTTATTTATTTATTTATTTTTTATTATTATTATTGGGAAGACTTTGTATTGTACAGTGATATATTACAACATGTTTTAATGTACTATAAATCCCTGTAGGTGTATGTATTTATTGTCTCACAGATACAGAATGTTCAGTGTTGAATGTAATAAAGCAGGATTGAAAATATTCATTCAGAGAGAGCAGCAATAATTAGTTTTTAATTCTGGTGCTAAGCTACTTCTCACACAAAATTAAAACATGCACCAATGTAGTGTCTAAAATGTTCACAATTAATAATTAATGTTGTTAATGATGTTATTAATCAATTGTATTGTTATAAACAAAATAATTAATATGTGCATATACGGTATTCATGGTTTGCTTAAACATTCAACTTACTACAATCTGCAAAAATAATTAATATGTGCAAAAAACACTATTACAGACTTGCTTAAGCATTCAGTATATTACAGTGTACAAAATAATTCATATTTGCATATACAGTATTTAAGAGCGATGATAATCATTCAATTTGCTATAGTCGAAATTGTGACAATAGTCAGTGTATCACAAAAATAGAATTCTCCACTGAATCCACAGCCTTCATTTCAGGAAGCTTTATAGCGAGTTTTAACTCATCGTTTTCAGCTCTATCAGACAGGTTTCAGTGAGCTTTACAATCCTACTGTTCCTTACCTGCTGAGTACTGAACAAAGGACAGCCACAGTTAGGATTTCACTGGTGAACACAGAGGAGCATTTAGCAGCTAGAAAGTCTGTTATTTTCTGCAGGAGTGAGGAGAGACAACAAAATGTGTATACTTATTTTTATCTGGTGGCCCTGATAGATGGTTCAATACCCATACTGTGTGTTTGCTATGGGGATAACCTAAATGATGTGAAAACTGAATACAGAAACTAACTTTCTATACTATTCTATGCATATCACTATGTGTTTTATCCTCTTTACATTGGATCATTTTTCAGTTTTTGGATTAATAAGGTGCCTGATTTGGTTTTAGTTGGCAGAGCGTAACTGAGGAGCCCACACCAAAGCCAGCATACAAAGGCTCGCTGAACTGAGCTTTGAATCTGTGGATCAGCTCCATGTTCTGCGATACTGAGTAGAAAGCCACAGTGTTGCCGGCGTAGTCCAGATACACACCAATCCGTGTCGCCCTGGGAGCATCGGGAAGGTCTCTGTCTGCTTTATTGTGCCAGGCAGAATAGCCTGAGTCTGAGCAGAGGAGGCTCCACGACTTGTCATTGTAGCCCAGCAGGCTGTGTGAATTCTTCCCCTTGCGGCTGATGCTCTTATAGGCCACCCCAATGGAAAACTCCCCGCCCCACTCTGCCTCCCAGTAAAATCTGAAACCTGTCAGAGGCTCCTTGCACAGCACTTGGGAGAAGCCATCGAAGCGCTCCGGATGATCGGGGTAAAACTGGACCGCTTTCTTCCGGGTGACTCTTTGGTTCCCATCTGACAAGACCAGCTCTTTGTAGACTGTGTTTGGATCGAAGGACATCTTGCAGGAATCTGAACAAAACAGTCGCAACACACAGTTGATAGTTTAGAAGTGGAGCATCTAATTAATCAAAACAGAGCACTGGATATCCCAGACTAAAATACTGATACATACACACTGCTGTTGTCGAAAGAAAAAGAAACCCCACAGAAGTTCTACTCTTTGAATTGACTGAAGCAACAGTTTACTCACATCTCAAGAAGTCTGCTCTTGTTTTTGGTTCCTGAAAGTCTGCCCTGGATGGAACTGTTTGGATTTAAGACAATCATATCATTGTGTGGTAAAGTGTATATAACTGCTTATTTCTATATCGTCAAACATGAATGTAAAATATTAACCTTTGAGGCGTTTGTCTCCGTTTCTCGGCAAAAGTATGTACACAGGAGTTTCACTGACTGTGAAGATATTACAGCATTAGATTAAGCCTGACTTTATTGTTTTTCATAGCATACAGTTTATTGTGAATATTATCTGGGACACACCTGTCTTGGAAATTTTGCTCAGTTCCTTCTTACAGATGTCGTCCAAGTTTTCTTTCATCTCTAAGGCTGTTTTGCTCATCTCTCCGAAGGAGAACTGGGGGTTGATGAGCACTTTGGGCACCATGGCCTCAGGAGGGACGCACAGGGTTGGAAAATTCTGTTTGAACAAGAAATAGTAGTGGCACAACACGTCAGACACACAAATAGAGATACAGTGAGTATCGACTAGACAAACTACAATTATCATGTAGCAGGTAAAAACATTGGCAATCTTCAATCTTGATTTTTTTTTTTAATGTTAAATGGGCTTTATTGTCACTGTCAGCCTAGGTGAAAAAAAGCTGAATTTAAAAGTACAGTCGTGACTCCATATTCCGACCCTTAGCAATTCGAAAACATTGCTATTTGACAGGCTTTTAGGAAAAATGAACCCATTAAAAATAGCCTTAACATACTGACAGCCTTGGATTCTGACTCCGACATGACATTTTATGTCACAAATAAGGATAACAGCGTATTATCTGACTGAACAATCCCACAGATTGGCTACGTTCAGACTGCAGGACACAACGCTCAATTCAGACATTTTTGTGAAGTCCGATTTTTTTGCGAGTTCGTTCACATTTCCAATTAAATGCGATCTGCTGTGTGAACTTCATGCGACCCAAAAGTGTCCTGCATGCGCAGAAGAGGACACGACGACGTCACACGCAGCGAGCGTGTTCAGTGTTTATGGAAGTAAACATGGATGGTAGTGGCGGCGGGGGAGTGGCGCTGCCGCCAGCGCCGATGGTAGAAACAGAAGTGCGACCACTAACAAACTGGCATTAGCAGCTAAGTGCTGCCGGTACATTCCGACCACTTCCACCCCATTGAAGCGCTCCTCTGGGGTGGAAGTGTCCCCCGACCGCGCAGAATATTCATCATTATTTGGGCCTGAATATCCAGAGACCAGAAAGTGTTATTCGGACCAGCCCTACCAGTTATTACAAACAACTATAAACAATAATTAACAACAAATGACCCTTCAAGTATCATGCCCTCCTTGTATTGTGACCTCCGACTTGACAATCCGACATCCTTGCTATCCGACATTAAAGAAGGTTTTACATTTAGTGTCGGTTTATCGAGTCATGACTACACATGCTAGGCCAAAGTAAATGTGGTATACAATATTGTTATAATACAGTTATGTTACAAACAGACATGACTGCCGATTGCTGCGGCTCTGTATGATGATCTCCCAGCACCTGCAGAAAGTGAATGTTGTCCTCCGTTTCGAGGATCTGTCGCAATTCTGCATCTCGGCGTTGCAGCTCCATGATCTCCTGCTCCAGACGCTCCACGTAGCCCTCAGCCTGTGACATCGCCGCCTGCATGTTGGCCATTATCATCTGACTGATTTCAGCCTTCCAGCGCTCCACCGCCTGCAGCATCTCATGGAAGGTCTTGTCACTTTCTACCTGCGCTCGCTGGGCGTTGCTCTGGAAGGTAACGTCAGCGGTGAAGGGTCAATCTTGATGTTACCATTGGATTGTAGCAAATTGGAATATCTTATCTTGTAGTAGCATTTAAAAGCCTCTCATTTCATATTGCATCACCTGCCATTTAGACCAGCTCCATTGCACTTTACGATATGGAAATGTGGAATTTATGTTGGGGTCGGTATGTCAGATCTTACTTTCAGAACATCCACATTGTGCTTGAGGTCTTGCAGCTCCTTCATTCTCTCCTGTATGATGTGCTGGACCTCAGACTGGGTGACCACCAGGACTTTCTGATGGGGAAAAAAATCAAGACAAGAAGACAGGAATTTGGAAATAACATTCACTCCAGAGAAGAAACATTTAGTTAGTCATCTCAGTTTCAATGCATCTTCTGATATTGATTTCAACACTTGGCGATGTTTAAATAGCACTCATGCAGCCTATCCAACAAGGTTAACGTGTCACTCGTGACCCGGACAGACTCACTTGTTTCTCGATGCGCTCTTCTTCTGCTGAGGTAATGTTGTGGCTGCGATGCTCTCTGACAGTACACAGCACACAGATGCACATCTGATCAGAGCGACAGAACAGCTCCAGGCCTTTCTCATGCTGGGGGCAGATCTTCCTGTCCAGGTGGCCCGTCTCATCCACCAACTTGTGCCTTTTGAAGGTGGACGACTCGTAATGAGGCTTGACGTGCGTTTCGCAGTAGTACGCCAAGCACATGAGGCAGGACTTGACGGCCCTGTTGCGACGGCCGACGCAGAAATCGCAGAAAGACTCCCGGTGCATGTCGGGAAAAGGCGTGAGCTCCCGGAGATTCTGCCGCGGCTCGTGGTGGACGTCGGGCAGGTTGCGTCTCAGGACAGGCCGAGGCGTGAAGGATGCGCGGCACTGTGGGCAGCTGTACACGCCCATGTGGTCAAACTGATCCCAGTAGATCTTGATGCACTCCAGGCAGTAAGTGTCACCGCAGGGAATGGTGACCGGGTCTCTCAGGGTGTCCACACACAGTGGGCAGATAGCATCAGGTGGTAAAGGGAAACCAGACTCAGCCATGGTGGTGGATGAAACAAATCTAGGAAATTAAACAGAATAGTTTGTCAGTTGCGAATCTCCAAACTGTTGAAAGAACTAAGTCCATCAAATAGTGACAAGTCAACTGCTGCCAGTCAGACTGAGGTCCAGGAAGCGTTTATCCACTGGCTCCTGTGATCCTACTACTCCTTTTCTACCCAGACAACACTGTTTTCTGCTGACATTTAAAGGGAAGGCTTTGTTTCTACTATAAACAGACAAGTGATGCCTTCCCACACAGTCACTTTCCCAGCATCTGAGTGAAAGTACGGAGGTCTGCCCCCATGCTGGTATCTGCTGAACAACAGGAATTTCAGGTAAACTCACACAGTAAGGTCAAGTTGTCAGCAAAACAAAAAAAGTTGGGTTCATTCCAACCATTTATTACATAATCAATGAAGAAAGTGATTTAAAATGATATTATTTATTAATGTGAAAGAATCTCATATCTCATGTCAGGGAGCAATAATGGACTTCATAAACAAGTGAGTGGTGTTTAACTAAAAGGGAATTTTATTCTGCTGTCTGCTTTTTTAATATTTACACATCAAGTTTAATCAAATAGTGTCATCACAGCAAGTTATTAACACACGGTTCTTTAGAAGTTAGTTTGTGTTTTCATCAGAAATCAGAGAAGAAATCCGCTGTCTCTCCTTCTTTAACATGATTATCTCCCTAAAATCTGTATTTTTCATGGGTGAAGAACTGACTCCACTTGTGAACAGTTTTAAGGCAGAAGACATTTGTCCTTCACAACCTCCAGCTTCTCATTTGACTGAGCGTCGAGTTTCATGATGGTGCCTGATGTCAAAACAGCTTTTGCTCTGTCTGTCCTGTGAACAATAAACAGAACATGTGGGTTCCCACACATTTTAAAAAACAACACAATGTTTAAAAAAAGGGGGAAAAAAAGAGAGATAACAGAAGTATTGCAACCCCCAAAAAACAAAAACAAAAAAATGCAACACCAAAACTTGTTATCATATGTGCTACTCCTTCTAAGTTATTTTTTTTAATGTTCGTTTTATTACAGACTATCACAACACAACTAAATCTCAAGTATTTTATGTTTTCTGATGCCTTTGCTTTAAATCTTAACAGGTACGTCAGTCTTCATCCCAGACTGATTTAATGCTGTTGAGATCAGAGCTCTGTAAAGGCCGTAGCATCTGTTGCATCACTTATTGTTCTCACTGAAGAAACTGTACATTCTTTATGTGTGTGTCAGGCTCAGTAATCTGCTTTAGAATCAATTTGGGACAAGGTTCTTGACTGATATAAAACTAAGAGGCAGGATGGTCTTTCCAGTAATGTGACAGCTTTATGTTGTCAGTGCCCTTTGTTCTATGAAGGGCCACTCTCATCTTCGCCCAAACAAGAGGGCTGTTGTGACAATGACAGTACACTCAGAAAAACAAAGGCGCCATCTGAAACCAAAAACGGTTCTTCACAGTGATGCCATAAAGAACCGTTTTTAATTCCGCAAAGCACCTTTTAGCTAGAGATTCTTTCAAGCACTACTATTTCTGGAACTAGATAGATAGATAGATAGATAGATAGATAGATAGATAGATAGATAGACTTTGTCTGTCCCAAATAGTGACAGAAATTTTCCTTTGACAAGGCTCCAACAATAAAAAGACAATACATATGAAAACACACTTAAGACACAAGCTCACAAAGCACAGACGTCTAAAAGAACTGTTAAAAAAAAAAAAACAGCAGCCTATAAAATGCACTTTTCAGTGTCTTTCTGGCCTGATTAACAATACGAGAGAGTTTTGTTTTGTGTTCAGTGGAGAGGGAGCTGTACCAGGATGAAATGCTGAATGTGAGGATGGATTCGATGACAGAGGTGTAAACCAGGGTTCAAATGCCTCCGCTGACATTAAAAGTCCTCAGTTATCTCAGCAGGTGAAGGCGCTGTTGTGCTTTTTTGTACACTGAATCCGCGTGATTCGCAAACGACAGGCTGGTGTCGATCTCTTTTCCCAGATATTCCCTTCAACCTGCTCGACAGACTGACCCTGGATACTGAGGGGTGTAAAAAGAGGTTTCAGATTTGCCTCTGCCCCCACAGCACAACTCCTTCGTTTTTGAGATGTTAAGCTCCAGAGAGCTTTTATCAAAAACTCGGGCAAGGTTGTTGCCTGTCTGCTGGTTATGGGTCAGTGCAGTGCTGTCTAGCAGGTGAGCCACTAGAGCCATGTCATCTGCGTATAGAGTCATTCCTGCACTGTTACAGGAGATGTTGTTGGTGGACACAGAGAAGAGAATGGGGGATAAAACACAACCTTGCCTGTGCTTAAAATCAACTTGCTGGATTTGTGCTCCAATGGTGCTCCAAAGTACTTTAGCAAAGATCTTTAAGGAACCATTTCCAGGATAGTTCTTTGTGGACCAAGCTGGGTCAGTAGAGAACCTATTTTAAATGAATCTGTACTCTTTTAAAGGCTTATAAAGGCTTCTTTGAGCATTTTAAATAAAATTGTTGCGTGTAGGTTAAAAGACAAGCATATGAACAGAGTTGTTGGCCATTTTTTAAAGTATTTAAGTCACTAAAACTAAAATCAGTCACTTTGAGGGGGAACATAGACCCCTAAATCTTACATTAAGTAATTCATAAAGCACTGAATGCACTATAGACGTGGATTCAATGAAATCTTTCTTCTCAGCATTTTTGGGTTTTGCAATAAAACACGTTTAATATTTGGGGTTCTGGACTGCTGGTTGGTCAGACTAACACATTTTGAGATGTCAACTTGAGGTTCCTGGACACTGCATTGGGCATTTCTCACAGCTTTCAAATGAATAATAGAGGAAATACCCTTCAGATTAAGCAACAATAAAAATAATCTTTAGCTGTGGCCCTGATTTGCCAACAAATAGCTCTCATAGAAATGAAGAACCTTTTAAAGAATCACATAAAGTATGCAAAGAACCATCCCAGTAGATAAAGAGGTTCTTCAATTAGTGAATGGCGCTTCGGAGAACCAGCGAGCCCTCTGAAGAGTCATTTAAGAACCTTTTTTTTTTTTTTTTTGCGAGTAGGAGCGAGAAGGAGAGAAAGCAAGAGGCTGCTTGAGAGATTAATAGTGGGCAGGGCAGATAGCTGTGAGCTAAATTTAGTATTCCAGAGGGGGAGAAAAGGGGTGAGAACAACAGATTTGGGGAGAAAGGAGTGAAAATTTGCGTAAAACGGAAGCCAAAACATGAAGATATAGATGAAAAAATAATTACATATGAAATTAAAATAAAATAATATGTACAGAAAATGATAAATCTTTCCACAGAGGGAAGTCTGTACAGAGAGACAGAGAGCTAATGAGGCTGAATAGACACAAGTGAGGCTGAGTGGCCATGATGTCATTGACTGTGCTGGTCGGTACTCGCTCCCTCCTCCCACTCGCTTCCCTCTCCTCCTCTCTCCTCCTCTCTCCGTATCACTCCTCCATCTTTGTCGTCATTGTGAGAAAGCCTGGGAGTGGCAGGAAGGAGGAGAGGCAGACGACAAAGAAGAAGATAGACGAAGAAGAGCCATTGAGGAGTTCCCTAAATATTTACTCGGCATCCTTCTACAGCAGGTACATCTTACATTCTGGGGGATTTATTTATTTATTTATTTATTTTTGCATGCAGCGGTTACCTGCTGTAATGCAGCTAATATACAGCAGAAATCATGTCTTTAGCACTTAATATTTAACAGCTAGACATCTTAATTCATTCTCTAGTGATCGATATTTATGTGATGTTTATTTTTAGGCACAATAGTAATGTTAGACTCAGTGGCAGATGCATGCAGAAATACAACATTGATTGTACAGTTTTGACCAAGTGCAAGCTTTTATATACGATTTGTTACAATGATACATTTGATTCACATGCCAACATATGTAAAATTAAGTGAAAGCTGTGACTTCAATGTGTATATGAATGAAAAGTGCTTTTATAGTAGAACATACAACAATTTTGGAATCACCCTAAAACAAAACATGTTTTTCTTCTTCTCCTTTCTTGATTTTAATTCTACAAATGACTCATATCACTGTTTATTAGCAGCTTTCCTGTGCATTTTCATAGCACTTCTGTCAGCGTAGCTCGACCAGCAGACGACAGTAGCACACAAGTGATGGATAAGTGTGTGTCGGTTTGTTTGTGAGTAGAGGAGAGGAGTTGGGAGAGAGAAGGAACGTGTTTGTTCATTCACTGTGGAGTGGACGGCGGAGGAGCCATTTGGAGATTGAGTTGATTGAATTAAATTGGCTTGAGAGCAGCTTTAGTAACACTAACACGATGATGGATGTGTGTATCTGCATATATGCGTGTGCACGTGTGTGTATGTGTGTGTGAGGGAGAGAGAAAATTGGAGTGATAATCATGGCCGGCATTTCTTGGCAGGCCAAGCAGTAATTTGGCTAAAAGAGTCATTATGAATCTGAGTGAGTTCTTTAATGTAAAAAAATGCTCTCACAAGGATGGGAAGTAAATGAGCATTAAACAAAGTACTTGTCAGCCATTTTTGAGAGGCTATTTTTGGATAAAGCGACTATATGGTTTTGACTCATGCGTGATCGATTATTACTTTAACAAAGAACATAACTGTTTTCAACACGTCTCTACAAGATTACACTTTGAACTGACCGTGACCTGTGTGTGCATGTGTTAGCATGGCTGAGGGCTCCGTTTCTGTAGCGGAGGTGCAGAGCTCCTTCCACAAGTTTGCAGTCCATGGAGACACCAAGGCCACGGGGAAGGAGATGAATGGCAAGAACTTCGCCAAGCTCTGCAAGGACTGCAACGTCATCGACGGCAAGAACGTCACCACCACGGACGTTGACATTGTTTTCAGCAAAGTCAAGTAAGGGTTTCTGCAGACTCGCTTCACAGCCAAGAAAAGCAGCAGGTCATGATTTGGTTATTTATTACTTTTTACAGTTGGATTAATTGTTTTTTAATAATTAGTTATGTCACATTTGGTGCTGTGGAAACAAATCCATGGCTAACAAAAGCTGTCAGTCACACAGCAAGTTTTTTTCCCCTCCTGATGTGTTCAGACAAAAGATGAAGTCATTTTGTTGTCTTGCAGTGAGTTTTGCTTTTACAGTAATCCCCCCCCCCCCAAAAAAAAACATATTTATCTTATTTTATAGTGCTTGTTTGTTTAGTCTAACGATACCTCATAATCAGCCTGTGGCAAAGTATGCAGCCTCCTCTCTTTGTGTGACAAAATGCACATGATAGTATAATTTTGTTACTTTCCTCAAAAAAAAACAACAAAAAATAAAAACAGTTGTCAACCCTTTTTGTTTCCTCAGGGCGAAGTCAGCTCGTGTAATCACATTTGAGCAGTTCAACCAGGCCCTGACTGAGCTGGCTCCCAAGCGGTTTAAAGGCAAGAGCAAAGACGAAGCACTTCAGCAGCTCTACGGCCTCATTGTCGGGAAAGAACCCACCAACGTCGGAGTCACTGTGAGTAATGACGAAGATGAAGATTAAATTTGCTTGCAACTGAACGGCATTCTAAATCGTGCTTGGAATGACATGTAGTGACTCCTAGTAAGATAAAAGCGTAGTGCAGTGGGAAATATTACCAATTCAAAAGATTTACAAAGTCTACAGTAGGAGGTAGGAGGGATAGTGGTGGTGCCATAAGTTCATTACAGGACAGGAGCTCGTATCGTGTGTTGGATTTTGGTTTGGTTTGTCATTGAAATGACTTGGGTAGCTTTCAAAAAATATCATAGTTTGAGTGTCTGAAGCTTCTCCTCCATTTTCTGGGTTTCCAGAGTTGAGAATCTTGCTCCCTCTAATATATGATTAGTTGGATGAAAAGATCAAGAGAAAATACGTTCTCCACAAACCTAACTGAGAATGTAGGCTAATGTATAGGAGCTAACTTTTGGGAGCGCAACATCCTCAGTTTTCACCTTGATCAAATCGGCAACATCCACAAACTGCACGTCAATTGATGTAAGGTTCAGTGTCCTAATGTTCTAATTGATACACTGCTGCACAGTTTATTTACAACTTAAAACGGACTAGCTTAGGCAGGATGAAAAGAAAAGCTCCAGTTGAGGTTCAATACAATTTTCGATTCAATTTTATTTGTATAGTGCATATTTACAACAACAAGTCATTTCATAGCGCTTCACAAAGGCAAAAACAGAAACACCCAACAATACAAAACATTTGGATTCCCTATAAGCTTCAGCAGTCCGCAAGCAGTCCGCAAGCAGTGGGAAGGAACCGAAAACCCCCGCAGGGGAAAAAAAACCTCAGACAGAACCAGGCTCAGGGAGGGACGGCCATCTGCCTCGACCGGTTGGGTGAGAGTGGGATGAATTATACAATTTAGTTTATAGTTAAACAAGTTACTAGAATTTATTGTCCTAAGTCGGAGGCTAGTTAGGGTCAGCTAAGAACCTGGTGGGACTTGTGTCTCTGTTTGAGTGACATTCATCATAATGTATTTATTATATCGGCTGAATCTATCTGCCACAGTCGCTGTTTATCCAGAAAAGATCATTGAATATGTTAGTGTTATTGTCTGCCACAGTGTTGTTCTTGATTTTACCACTAGAGGGCGCCAAAGACGATTCAGCTCCAACACATTAAAAACAGATATGAAATTAAAGCATTACTGGGCTGATGTGTATAGAGCAGGAGAGTAAAGTAAATAGCAGCAGTAACAAAATATGTGAGAGTGTGCTCCTATTTGTAAATGAATGAAATGCCTTTTTGCTATATCATTTCTTCAGTCTGAAATTGACCCTCTGTTGATTTTTAGAAAGTAGCCAAGGCAGCAGCAGTGGACAGACTGACTGACACCGCCAAGTACACCGGCTCACACAAGGAGCGGTTCGACGAGTCGGGCAAAGGAAAAGGGAAGGCCGGACGCGACGACATCCCAGACACCAGCGGCTACGTGTCCGCTTACAAGGGCAGCGGCACGTACGATGACAAAGTGAAAGAAGCATAATCCTGCTGAGAATTTATAAAAACTCACCTATAACCTGAATTAAGGGTCCCAAGAAAACGAGCAAAATGCGTTGGCTATTTTTAAAGACATAAGAAATGAGTAAAGCAGTTGAATGGGATGTAGCATGTATGACTAATAGTGTATATTTCTGAGTTGTTTTACAGGGACCAAAGGATTGAACTGTTTGCTTTGCACTATGCACTAACACTGTGCCTTATTGTAGCCGCTAGTGTAAATGCTCTGATAGAACGTGCTGCTGTGCTCATTCACCTTAATGCAACGGAGGATTGATATCGCTGGTTCCAAAAAACATGACACTACTTTTACTGGCTTTATATTTCAGCACTCTCTGCTACATGACCAATCAGCGTTCATGACCATTTCCTGTCATGGAGTTTAATTATATCACGAAATATACTTTTTAAAAGATGATCTAGAAAAATGTAGCAAACCAAACTAAAGTATATAATCTTCCTTTTGTCATCTTGTTGTGATTATTAAGGCTCATAGGATGTGTCATTTCATGTAGTTTTTGTTTTCTTCCGAGGTTAAAGTATTAGAGAATGTCCATTTTTCCCTGAATGAAAATGCATTTAAAGAAAAGTGAATGTAAAACTCTAAATAAATATTTATCTTACATGGACACGGTGATTTATTTTTACATTTACGTTGCAGGAGTCCACACTGTAAAACTGTAAAAGAATCACTGGGATGCTTTCATTTATAATTTGAACATTCAGTATTAAAGGAAAACGCTCTTTATAGATTGTAAACAGATTTTTTTTCCAATTAAACTGACATCAATCTGGATCCTGTCCCACATTTAGCTTTAAGAGAATACATTTCAGGTTGCTTGAAAAACGATCAAACAACCACAAAGCTCTTGCACTCTTTAAAGCAACAAAGGTCGCAGCTTCTCTGACATGAAATGGCCCTCACCTGAGCCTGGCCGATTTACAGAAATAGCTGGGATACAGTTTCACAACATAAAGAGCCCTCGCAGGACAATAAACACTCATCCAAACTACCTGGACCCTCCTCGTAACGTGATGCTCATGGTATTTATGAAGGATTCATAGAAGCTACTCTTTATTGTATGATGCACATGCTTAAAAATAGGTCTTCTATATAAATAAATATGACACTGCAGGCCTGAATTGATAAGCATCAACTGGGTTTTGTTGCTTGTTTTGTGATCCTGACATTGATTTACAGAAGCTGTATTGTCTGAACACTCATAATCACAGGGATCTCAATACAAAGTGAACAAATACTTCTTTATCATCAAACTTTTGTAGTCCTTCTTTTTTTTAATGAGTGTATATTAATGAGAGGACTCTTTATAGACATTTAAACCCACAGTAACTGCTCTTCAGGACACTCAATACTAATTGTGACATACTGTCATATAGCAAACGTGTTATTTTTCACAAATTCTGCTGATTTAAGGCAGCATTATCGTTCATTTGGAGATGTGCTCAGCCTCCCCTTTGCTCTCATTCTTATGCTCTTGAGCAGCAAAACGATCCACGATGTTGAGCCTCCTTCTGTATTTGAAAATAATGCAAATGGTGAGAAGTACGGAGCCCGTCTGGTGACATCGACAAGAAATAAAAATAACTCGTTCCCACGCATTAGTAAATCGTGGCCACGAGTTATTAATGCGTGGGAACGACATAGTTAAATTGTGGCCTCGCATAGAAACGAGCTCTACAACTGAATCGGTCTAAAAGTAAAAAGCGGTGTCTTTTCACATCACAATAATTTAAGTGTCACCACCACAGATGTTTCATAAATTCATCTCACATGATAAGCTACTATATCTAGAATTGCAAATAATTACCTTTAATCAACAGCTGGTGTGACGGCACTATTTGAACTTTGCGCCGCAACTTCTCCTTCTTCTCTTTGTTTCTAATGCGAGGCCACGACTTAACTATGTCGTTCCCACGCATTAATATCTCGTGGCCACGAATTACGAATGCATGGGAATGAGTTATTTTCTTTCTTATCGATGTCACCAGACAGGCTCCGTAGAGAAGTAACCAAGGAAGAAAAAAAAAAAGGAGGTTGTAAAGTGGAAACAGTCTCTAAAACGCTCCATGGAGGACTTTTTGGATCAGTGCCCTGACGGGTTCAAATTACATTTATAGTTATCTGATGCCAAGCTAATGTAAATATATCCGCTATAGCAGCTTTAAACTTAGTTATGGGTTATCAAGAAAAGAATGTATTGTATTTTAATAACAGATAAATCACTCCCACTGAGCCTTACAGAAGTGTGATGTCTTAATTGTAGCTAATGGGACACGTTCAGCTGTGTTTGACTGTTCAGGACTCCTTTAAATAACACCATGTTCAACCCAATAACCTCAATTTCAAACTGCTTCTTCATGGCCTGGTTGACAGAAAGACAGACTACTAACACACTATTAGAAACATCAGGATAAACTAAACCAGGGCATTCTCTGATCCAGAGTTAGGACAGGCACAGAGGGGACAATGCTTATCAAAAAAAACAACAAAAATCCCATCAGCAAACACGACACCACTGACCTTACAGCCAGCGAACACACAGAGGCTCCATAAGATACAATCTTTAGGAGGTTTTGATATACACCGGGGAGCTCATCGGGCCGGTCCCGACTGAAACGTGCCCTCGTAGCTTTACTGTGAAGAGCTGACAGCATGTATTGGATGGTAATGAAGTAAAGTGTGTCACACAGAGCTGCAGACTGACCTGACTGGGCTTCGCTCCACCCATCTGCAAAAAACAAAAACAAAAATAAAAGAGACCTGAAAAGGAGCATCTGGCTCACAAGCTGCCACTGTGGAGACGACTGCAAGACCTTCACGCTTCCCATTTTTTAAACGCTCTGTGTTTTTATTATTTATTACAACTGCTAGTTAGTTTCTTGTGCTTTAAGAGGACTTTAAGAGTTTACGTGGAACAGTTTGAAGAGTGAGTTGAGACATTTTTTCACTTGTTGGATTGACACACATATATGAGAAATTACTTACTTTAAATTATCTACTTTGGTTATTGAGAATTTGCTGTACATGCTTTCTGGTTATTTTATTGGATATTGCTGCTCTAGTTTAACTTCTAATTTGTTACATGTTATGACTAAATCGATTTCAGAATACAAATTCAGAGGCAGATCTTACAAAGTTGAAGTAAAGCTACTGCACACAATATTGCTCACCACAGTGTTAATCATGATATATTAATGCTGACTAGAACAAGTATCTTGACAGTGAGAACATTATTTAACCTCCATTTTGAACCTGTGACATCATAAAAGTGAATATTTTCTTTTTTACCTCTTTTCTCGTCAGTTTTTATCATTTTGGCGTTATATCATAAATTGGATTTTCATTCTCGCAAACTGTTCTATCTGCAGACATTTCCTTGTGTTGTGAGATCATGAGATCTATCGTGTGCACTTTGTTTGTCTTGGGCCTGCTGTGGGACAGTGTGAGAGCCGAAACCACCATCAGCAGTCTACGCGCGGCAGCAGGTAAACCACACTGTGACACGGTTCTGGATGAAAACTAACCGAGGACAGGTGACCAGAATACTTGTGCAGCCAATGGTCGAAATGCAGACTCTAAATTTCTAGACAGTATGTATAGAAAAGAGTAATGTATCACTTTTAGCAAATGAATACAGTTAGAGTCTATCATATTGTATTATATTTAATATTTTAGGTCATGTTAAAGAAAATTTGAGAATTTGAGTTTGTCTCAAAATGTCAATGCTAGAATCTTTCTTTGGGTCAAAATATTTTGTCTGTTAATGGAACATCCATCCAT